GCTGGCGGGGGACGCGGGGCGGCCTCGGCCCCGTAACCGCAGCGCTGACCGAGCCGAGCCGCCCCTCCCGCCCGGCCCGCGCCGCAAAACAAAGCGCCCCGCGCCCGCCTTCCTCTTCATTTTCCTCCTAGCGGGACCTTACTCGTTGCTCTTCTGCCGCGAGTGCGGGGCGGGAAATGGAAAGCGTCGAGCTTTACGTTTAAAAAAAAAACAAAAAACAAAAAAACCTCCCCCCCTCCTCCGCCGTGTTGCATGGCACACGAGTGTTGAGTGAGCGCAGGTAAACCCTCGCTTCAGAGAGCCCGTGCTGCGGCGTTTGGGCGATGCTATGTGTCGATACGGTTGGTGGCAAGCCTTAGGAGCGCGGGCTGTTCCGGTAGCGGCGCGGGCGGAGGGAGCAGAGAAGAGACTAGTCGCTAGGCTGTAGTCGCAAGCCTCTGAACCGCAGCCTCCCTCTCCCTGGCGCCCTGATCTGCAAGTCAAAGCCTCTCTGCCGCCTTTGCGCTGGTCTCTGCYGTCTGGGGGAAAGGGGGGAATTAAAGGGTACTCGGATATGTGACTGGGGGAAGTTGGCTTTGTCACTGATACGAGGGGAGAAGAGGACAGATGTGAGMGGGTTTCTAAAGGTGTCTTCTCTTTGCTGGTACCTTTTCTGTCTGTAGAAATCCCTCGGTTTGCGCTAGTGCTTGGAGAACTTTTAGCGCCGCAGGAATTTCCAGCGGCTGGRCTGTAGAATTAAATGCGAGCGTGGCTTTGAAAACGGAGGGCGTTCTTTATTGGGGTGTAAGCGTATGCTCGTCCCTGGCAGTACACGTTTGTCTGCCCGTCTGCAGCACGTCCCCTGCAAGGCGGGGGCTCCTGCCCAGCCAGACCCGTGCCCCAACGTGCGGGGCCAAGCAGGGAAGCGGCAGCGCGAGGTGTTACCGCTTTAGCCCCGCCGCAGAAGACAGGTCCTCCCGGTAGCACCGCGGAATCGCCGCTTGGCCTGAATCGCGTTCGGCTTTTCGGCCGCTGCTRTTTTCTTCCGCGGGAGCGCCCTTTGTGTGCGTGGTTCCGGGGACACCCCGCTGCTGCGGGCCGGGC